AAATTTAATTACTTTTAAATGTATATCTAAATTAAATATTTATTCCAATGTATAATTCTAATTTTACAAAAAAATTATCATAAAATAAAAAATATTATTACATTATAATATGAATGATTATTCTAATATATGAATTAACTATTTTTATTTTATTAAAAAGGAATCATTAAATAAAAAATATTGATTATATTATAATATGAATTATCATTACAATTTTCAAACGTTATTATAAAGTCAAATTAAATTATTGATTTGAAATTTTAAATTAAATCATAATTAATCAGATCAGACGAGATCAGATCAGATCCAATCAGATCAGATCAGATCAGACCAGATCAGATCAGAACTTATTAGAATCAGATCAGATCAGAAAAAATAAGTTGAACGGAACGGAGCCTTATATAGTTATATGCTCTTTCATGAGTTAATTGTAGAAAAACCGTGTTACATGGTTTAACACAAATTTTTGTCTATTATTAACTCATGAAAGATGATATAAGTATATAAATTCTTTAATGATCTTGTCCTATATTGATTACATTCATGCTAATGTGTTGTGTTATCTAGTTGTATTTTTGCAAGTAAAAAAAGTTTATTTTGAAAATTAGCAAGAAGACCATGTGTAATTAAAAGCAGTTTACATGACCCCATGAAGACGTTTTCTATTAAAATTAATGTGCTTTGATAAAAATATCCTTTTTTAATGACATGATTCGCTAACTCTGTAATCACATGACTTTTGTTGGGGCGCACAATTCACTGGAGGATCTAAGTATATTTTATGGGGGGCACCCTCCCCCAGTCAATTTTTTCTTTCAAATATATAGTGAAAAACAATTCCAATAAAATAAAAAAGAGTGCTCTGGTGAAAATATTTGTGTATCCCTAGTCTAAAAAAATTCTAGTGCAAGAAGAAAAAGTAGTTGTTAAAATAAAATATAAAGGTAAAATATTTAAGATATAATAGTTATATAAGGTTGTGATATATTTCATATCATATTACTCTATTTATAAAATATTTGGGGTTATTGTTGTTGCTGTTGTTACTTATTTGAATACTTTTTTGCTATAAAATTTATCCATTTTCATCATTATTAATAGCATTTAAAAGATCAGAACCACTTCCCCAAAACCCCCACCCTATAATTCACTATGATAGTGCCCTCTGTCAATATTTTTCCTAGATCCGCCTCTACGTGCAACACAAGACAAGATAAATTATGGAGAGATAAATTAAAGTAAATTAGAACATCAGATATTTAACATGATCACACAAAACTTTTAAACTGCGCCCACAAACCACATATAAAATCAAAATTGTAAGTTACTATTGCTTATTTTGTCACTCACCTTTTATTTAGTAAAATGTTTTCTACACAAACTACTCATTTTTGTTTAGGAAATAATTTCCTAAGCACCACACAATATTTTACAAAGATGTTCCCTAATGATTCCTCTAACCCTTGTTTACTTACGATTGAGCCTTACTCAGCTATCATGGAGGTGGTTTCCTTTTTATAACTACTATGTATGTTTTACTACCATGGTACTTTTCATTTTATCATAACATGTGTCAAATGCCAAGTTATCCACCGCCAATTAAAAGTAGCCACCATGCACATCAGTTCAATTGAATTTTCCAAATACCCAGTTACCCCCCCCCCCTCCTCCCCCCCAAATTGTCAAGTCTTTGTGTAATGGCATGTGACTCTTCATTTTGAAATGATCTAACCCAACACTTCTCTCCCTCTTCACAAATGGAGGGTTCCATCATTTTACTTAGTGATTAGTAGTACTCACAATTTTCTATTGACATAACTTCTTCCATATCTCCATGTAAGAAGAAAATACTCACATCCATAGCTTTATTGAAGCTATTGATCTAGTTCTCCCCCGTTAGTCAATCACTACGCCAGAAACAGCATCAGACCACTGTTGATTCACTACTGTTTATGCAAACACAGTAGTTGAAAAAAAACAGACTACTGTAAGTTTTTCATAAGAACAGAACGGTAGTCTAGGTTGTATGCTTTAAAACTATTTTTCAAGTTTCGAGAAACGGTAATGTTTCATTAGTTGTCTGTCTCAGTTCAAGATACAGTTTTTTTTACAACAGTTGTCAATAAGAAGTTAAGAATACTCTATTTAAACAATAGTCTGGGTTGTTATTCTAGAACTGTTTTAAAATTTATTAGAAACAGTTATCTAACGTTTGTTGTCTGTTTCGTATGGGTTTTTTGCCACTGTTGTTTATAATAGGAATAGAAGACTCTTTTAGAACAATAGTCTATAAATTATGGGTAGAACTGTTTTTGAAGCTGTGAGAAACGGTCATCTATTATTAGTATTCGGTTTCGTAAAAAAATACAGTTTTTATTGCCACAGTTGTCAATAATTTGTTAAGACTACTATTTCTTNCCATATGTTCACTGAAACAATTTTATTCTTTAATAATATTATAAAGGAGAATGAAAGCGAAGTAACTGTCAAAATTTAAAAAAAATACTTACATAAAGTATGGTTGGACATCATCACAGTTTTCGAGGAAACACAAATGTGCTAGGTGCAAGTCATTATTGGTCGGTGTGATCATCGTCGCACCAGACAGGGGTCTAGATTGTGCACCCTGGAAACGTTTTGGCAATCCTACTGTACAATCTTCAGAACTCACTAAACACTCAATTGCCTCCTCTGCAATATACGCTTCGGCAATTGAACCTTCAGGATAAGCACGATTGCGTACATATCCCTTGAATATCTTCATTTCTCTTTCGAAAGGATACATCCAACGTAGCCAAACTGGCCCACAAAGCTCGACTTCTCTCACAAGATGAATTGATAGATGGACCATTATATCAAAGAAAGGAGGGAAATGTTTTTCAAGCAAACATAAAGTCTCTACCAACTAGGATTGCATTTTTTCCAATTTATCGACCTCAATGACTTTACTACAAATTGCCTTGAAGAAGAGGCAAAACCTAATAATAGTGGACCGCACATCTTTTTGTAACACCGATCGTATTGCAATGAGGAGCAAGTGATGCAACATTGTATGACAATCATGAGACTTCATCCCGACAACTCGAAGATTTTCTATCGATATTAGACTCTTGACGTTAGAGCAAAAACCTTCAGGTAACTTCATGCCAATCAAAGATGAGCAAACTATCTTTTTTTCTTTGTGCAATAAGTTACAAGATGCCATTGGTAACTTCTCATTTTTTCCGGGATTTTTGGGCATCAACTCCGTTCTTCCAAGTAGGTCGGATGTCTCCTTTTTTTAGACGAGGATGTGGTTGTGTCTTCCCGTAGACATGGTCACTTAACGATTGCACATGTAAATATACCTCTTCCCCAATCAATAGGATAGGAGCTGCATTCTTTTCCACTGTGTTATCAAAGGCTGCTTTCTGCCTTCGATATGGATGTTGTCGTGGCAACCACCTGCGATGCTTCATAACCACCATCTTACGGTAATTATGCAACTTGATAGCATTTGTTTTATCACCACAAACAATACATGAATTATAGCCTTTTACAACATTGCCTGACAAATTATCCATATGTAATTGAGATAAGAATGGTGACTTACCAGACTCCTGTCATGAAGGGTTACTAGCAGAGTATTGCTCCATCGCCGAAAATACCGCAGTGATGAAGAAACAGCTAGACCTCAACTGTGGCTGAAATTACTCGCCGCCGGCCATGTCTGAGCATAAGAGCTCGATTTCACCCTTGGCATAATTTCATCCCAGCGCGATCCCAATTTGGGTTTCCACTGTACTCGCTATACCGCAGGTCCCAAGGAAAGTGGAAAAGGAGATTGACTTCACCTTTTCTTTTTCACTTCTATACTTCACCTAATTTTTTTGATGAGATGAAAAGTACAAATCACTACCAAATTTTACTAAATGTACACTAAAAAAACAAATGATAGATTCACATGCTAAAATGACTTATAAACTTCTATTAATTATACTCCGTATATAACTAAAGTTTACACAAAAAGTCATATACAAAAAAAATTATGCAAAAAGTGTTGACTACCAAAAAAATTAATACTAAGTATTTCATTGAAAATTCAGTGTTAAACATAATTTAATTGTTTTAAACAAATTTTATACGTTGATCTGTTAATTTGAAAATTTTGCATACGTTAGATCATTCAAGTAGTCGGTCGAGTTGGTTAAACTCGGGTTCGAGTTGAATTGTCATCC